GAACCCACATGTGCCACATGGCTTAGGGCTTGTTTCTGCCTCCAGAGCCCTCTGGGCTACCAGAGCCTCAGGCTTCTAGGATGGTTCTGGTCAAGCTCCCCTGAGCAAGGCCCACCACACACTCTGGGGTGTATGGTTATCTATGGTGCATGCCCTGGGAGGAGGGAGCATAATGTAAGTGTTCTGCCTCTGCTGACTGTGCCCTTGAGGATAGGCCCACCTGCCTCTGGGGAGTGGCCTTGGTCTGGCCAGCCTGTACCAGGCACTGGTGTCAGCAGAGGCTCCCACCAGGAGTCCTGTCACTCAAAGCCCTCCTTGTACGCATCAGCCTTTCCAGCATACTGCCTGGCCACCATCTCTATCCTCTCCCTTGTTCCAAGACCAGTCAGAAATTCCTGGCCATCTCATGTTGATTTAGGGAAGTGAACTGGAGTCCAGAGAGGTAGGACAGGCCATGGGTAGTAGAGCTGGGTGTGGATTCTCTGGGTTGGGGGGTGGGGAAGGGTCTCTTCTCCTATATAAGTGGAAGCCCCACCCAGAGCCAGATTGGGATCTCTGGGCTCCTTCTCCATTTTCTACCACCTGCCCTGGCCTCTGCAACCCCTGTGGGAGTGGCTCTACCCCCACCCCAGCTGGTAGGCAGAACCCTCCTACAGCCCTGGTGAAGGCAGTGGTTTCTGTAAGGTCATACTGGAAGGCCGTGTCTTGTTCTGGGAACAGGGAAAACAGCTACAGGTACTGCCCATGTCCAAGGGCCCAGGGTTTGTCCCCGCCTCTGTCCCTGGAGAACAGGCCTGCTATGATATGCCCCGGCTCCACCCCTGCAGAGGAAGAACGTACACATCAATGACAACGTCCTGCATTCCGCCTTTGAGGTGGGCGTCCGAAAGGTGGTCTCCTGCCTGTCCACCTGTATCTTCCCTGATAAGACAACCTATCCTATCGATGAGGCCATGGTGAGGGAATGAGACCTTCTGGGGGTGGGGCCTGGTTTGTGGTCAGAACTGGAAGTGAAGGCCTCCGTGTTTCTGCTTCCACAGATCCACAATGGGCCTCCTCACAGCAGCAATTTTGGGTACTCCTATGCCAAGAGGATGATTGACGTGCAAAACAGGTCCTTCTCCAGTGTCCTGCTCAGGCCCAGCTGGGAGAGGGGAAGAGGGTTCAAGCTCCTTTGGGTGGGGCAGGGTCAGCTGGGTGGGTGCTGGCCTTCTTGCCCCTTGTTTTTGCATCTGTCAGAGGGTAATGGTGGCGTAGCAGGCTCAAGACAGGTGAGAGCAGTAGATGCTGTCCCACTGCAGGGCCTACTTCCAGCAGCACGGCTGTACCTTCACCGCTGTCATCCCCACCAATGTCTTTGGCCCTCATGACAACTTCAACATCGAGGATGGCCATGTGCTGCCTGGCCTCATCCACAAGGTGCACCTGGCCAAGAGTGAGTGTGGCCACCCAGCACACACCCAGCCTGGGTCTCCACCTAACGGGTCCCAGCTTTCCTGGGAGGACCTGGCCTGGCTGGAGTCTTCTGACAACTGCCCCTCCCCTGAACCTCAGGCAGCGGCTCGGCCTTGATCGTGTGGGGTACTGGGAAGCCACGGAGGCAATTCATCTACTCGCTGGTGTGTACAGGGGGAACATAGCCCTTCCTGCAAAGGGCGGCCTATTGGGCTGTCAGGGAGGCTGCAGCATGAGGGAGGCTGAGTGCAGCTCAGTGGGAAAAGGGTTACCCAGGGGATAGACCTTGTCCAGGCTGAGCCCTGGCTGTGGTCTAACTGAGCAGAGACAGCAGTGTGGCCTCTGACCTGCCTGTCCCACATGTAGGACCTGGCCCGGCTCTTCATCTGGGTCCTGCGGGAGTACAGTGAGGTGGAGCCCATCATCCTCTCAGGTGCGCACCCTAACACTGTGGGGAGTCTCACCCTCACAGTGGGGTAGGACCCAGGTCTGTCCTGGAATACCTGTGGGGGGCTGGGCAGGAGGGGCTTGACTGGCTGCTGACCCATTATTCTCCACAGTGGGTGAGGAAGATGAAGTCTCCATCAAGGAGGCAGCCGAGGCTGTGGTGGAGGCCATGGGCTTCCATGGGGAAGTCACAGTATCCTTTGCCTTCAGAGATGGATGCTGCCCCTCCTCCACGTAGGACAACCGAGTAACAGCATTTTATCCCCTGGTGGTGCTCCCCCTGGCTGCTTGAAGGGGGGGGGTGTCTGCCCAGGCAGAGAAAGACAGAGGTTCAAGGCTGGATGGGGGTGGGGATGTTCTCTCTGCTGTGGCCTTAACCCAGGCTTCCAGTTTGACATAACAAAGTCAGATGGGCAGTTTAAGAAGACAGCCAGCAACAGCAAACTTCGGACCTATCTGCCCAACTTCCAGTTCACACCCTTCAAGCAGGGTGAGCCCTATCCCTTCCCATAGGCCTCTTGTCTGCCCTGCTCCCTTGGCTTTGGATCCTATTACCTCTCCGTCTATCCCCATACTGTGGCCTCAGCTTCCCTCCTGTGAGGTGGGGGGTGCAGTGCTCCACAGACATGGTCACCAGATCCCCATCAGAGCCTGTACCATTTGGGAGGTGACTTCCCTGTGTCCCTGGGGCCTCTACCTGGCCTATCTCCTCCTGTCCCTCACCTGCCTACCGGCTTTCATCTGTTGCCCCACAGCTGTGAAGGAAACCTGCACTTGGTTCACCGACAACTATGAGCAGGCCCGGAAGTGAACCCATGAGGGGAGCAGGTGCTTAGCTAGCAAGCCCTGGCAGCCCCCGGCCTCAGACCTTTTCAGGGGCCAAGGACACTGCCCAGCAATCCAGCCCAAATCCCACCCCCTCAGCTGGGGGCTCCAGTCAGCTGGCCAGCAAGGCCCTTTTTCTGTCTGTCCTCAGGGAAACAAGGCCCAGGTGACCCAGCACCTCCCTCCCTGCCATCCCTGCCTTGGTCCACTCTGGTCCCACTGTCCTGAGTCTGGGACCCAATAAAGTGCATTTTCATAGGCCTGGCCTCAGTAGCTCTGTGCCCAGCTATTCACACCCAGCACTGCCTCCCTCACCTGACCAGCCCCAGGACCTACTGTCCCTCTGCTCAGTCCCTGACAGCTGCTGGGCCCAGAGGCTAGTGATGTGAGCAGCAGGAGCACAGGACAGGTATGGACTGTTAGTGGGCTGTGAAATGGGGCAGGGCATTTCTCCAGTGGTCCCAGGTAGACCCTGGCTAGAGCACAGCCCTTCCACACATGGGCACACACACCTGGGCTCTGCCTCAGCCCTGAGAACCTTGGGAAAGAGGCCAGGTCTGGATTTGGACATGCTCTGGGGACTGATGATTGGGTGACCTCCCTGAGGCTCCATCTTGACCTTGTGGTAGGTCAGCTCCAGCCACCAGAGGGGTGAGCACCGTTGGCCTCCCCAGTCTCAGTGGGAAACAGCAAAATCGAAGAGGCTGAGTGACAGTCCCCCAGACAGTCAAGGTAGCACAGGGATAGGGACTGAGGAGTGGTGGGCTGGGGTAGCTGAAGTGCCCTGGAGCAAGTGGCATTGAGCCCCTTGGCTTGTTTCACTGTGATTCTGGATCATCCACTCGTGGATCTCATGTACCTAGATTTCACTCACCAAAGACAAGTGGGTTTTGTCCTTTATGATGACATAGGGCTGAAGGCTACAGGCCCCTCTCATCTTCCCTCAGCCTGGGAGCTGAGCCATCACTGTACCTGGGAGCTTGGAAGAGCAGGGACCCAAATTGCTCCCAGAAGTCTGTGGAAGTGGTTGGTAGGATCAGAGGATAAAGTGAAGATAGTTCCACCTATACAGGTGCCACCTGTACAAAACAGACTTTTAATTCCCCAGGTTGTCAGCTCATGACCTCCTCCAGCCCCACAGCTAGAACTGTGACTGCTGCCACAGCTAGGACTGTCCTGAGCATACCTCCACCGGTCCCTAGAAAACCAGACATTCTTCCTGATCATCCTCCTTCCAAATGCTCAGGATGAAACCCCAGGGTATTGTTAGTGTCTCACTTTTCCTCAGCCCAACCAGCCTTCCAGCACATTCTTTTTTTCAACTTCCAGAGATACTTCACACATCCAGCTGCTTTCCACCACCACTTCCCCCTGATCCCACACCTCCATCTCACTGCCCATCACCTCCTCCCACTATCCTAGAGCTTCTCCTAGGACAGTCCATGGCCTCTGCCTTACTTTCATCTGCTAATGCAGTCACCAGCTCCTCCTGCACTGTCTTCTGCGTTCTTCCTCTGGCTTACATCTCTCTCACTCCCCATCTAGCTTTCTGCAAGCCCGTCTTCAACCAGAGTCCACCAACCAGGGAGAGAGCTGGGACACAGGATGCCTACCCCACCAGGGGACTAGGTCTGAGCTGCTAGGGTCCACTCCCAGGCCTGCCTGCTGATAGGGCCCCAGCCTGGAACTTGCCTGTCCTGCACTCCCACAGATTTGCAGTTGCCTAATGACCATCAATCTGTGCCAGCTGTGCCCTGATATCTAGGATCAGGGTTCAGAATAATGTGGGATCACTTCCACTCCCACCTTCTGTGCCTTTGGTGCTTCTTTTTTTTTTTTAGGATGGTTTTTATTTTATTGTTTTGTTTTTGGTACCGGGGATCGAACTCGGGTCCTTGAGCCTGCGCAGCAGGCGGCAAAACCACTGAGCTAACTCCCCGGCCCAGGTGCTTCTTTATTTGGAATCCCAACCAGCCCCATCTTGGGCCGGTTTGGCGCACTCCGCTGTGGAAATACCTGCGCTGCTTTGGAGGGGACGCCAGCCTCGTGTTTCCCAGAGTGAAACAGAAAGGATGCATAAAACTAGCTCCCCACTCTTTGCGACCCTTCCCCTCCGAAAAATCGTGGTCTGACCATACAGGAGCCTCGGGAAACCTGCTCTAGCTCCCCATTGCACACAGTATCGATTCAAGTGCTCCCGCCAGTCGACTCGACACGTCGTAAGCCCCCACCTACCGGTTTCTCTTCACCAGTAGGCGGTGATGGGCGGTCTAGCTCCTCAGCCAATGAACAGTGAAGGGTGGGACCTACTTCTGTGGCCTACGAACCGCGAGCGCTATGGCTGCTGTGATCCCTGACCCGCGGCGCGTGGGCTTCGTGGGCGCGGGCCGAATGGCAGAGGCCATAGCGCAGGGCCTCATCCGAGCAGGTGGGTGGTGAGGCGTGGGTGGGAAGCTCGGCTAGAAGAGCCCACTTGACCGGCGGGAGGAGCGCACCTGGCGCGCGCTGGGTTGGTGCGCTGAACCCACAGAGCCCCTGGGTTGGGGCAGACAGCAGGGTCCCAGGGCCCCCACGGTTCCCCGGTCCCAGCGCCCGGTTGGCGGCCCTTCAGCTGGGAGCGTATGGGCCAGGCATGGCTCAGACCTGCGTGGGGCAGCCGCAGCTGCTGTCGGACAGCGGCCAGAAGCCTAAGTGAAATAGGCTGGTCTGATGGAACTCATGTGTGGAAAATAAAGGACAGTATGGATTTAGAAAGTTTAGAACCAAAAAAGTCACACGTCTTGTTTTTATATTATATTAATTACATGTTGAACAAGTACTAGTTTGGATATATTGAAGAAAATTACAGTTAACTTCACCCGTTATTTAGCTTTTTAATGTGGTTACTAGAAAATTTATAGTTAACATTCTTTTCAAACTGCATTTCTGTTGGACGGTGGTGGCTTAGTGCCAGCATATACGGCTGACTTCCTGGCTTCACAACCTTTGTCAAGTTGACCTTTCTGAACCTCTGATTCTTTTTGCTATTTGTTCACGGGCTCCGCTCCACTCCTGGTAGTGAGCAGCTTTGTGGACATTCTGGGCCTGATAATTCAGTCTGTGCATTGCAGGGTGTTTAGCATCCCAAGTCATTCCTTACCACATGCCAGTAGCACCCCCAAGGTGGGGCAAAGTCTCCAGACACTGACAGGTGTCTGCTGCATAGGGTTGGGGGGTCAGGAGAGGAGCAAAATCATCTTGGGTGAGGACTCCTGGTATACAGCAGAAGATATTACCCTAATATTACTGCACAATATTTAGAAACAGGTGAGAGCTGGTGACCAGAGAGCTGGCCCTCTGCCTTCAGCCATACTTCAAAGTCCAGAGGGTCACACTAAAGCGGAAGATAGTTTAATGCACATTTCAGGTGTCCAACTACCTCGAATGGCTGTTCAGAGACTCAATGAGGCATGTATGGTTTTGTTTGGTTTTGTTTTTGTGTTTTGTTTTGTTGGTTTTTCGAGCTGTGTAGTTCAAGCTACACTATGTAGCCCAGACTAGCCTTGAACTCACTATGTAGTTACCCCTTTCAGATGAGCTCGGACCCAATAGAGCCATTTGTCAAGTGCCTTTGTACCCACCATGCCCCCTTCTAGGCTCGGTGTTCTCTTTGGGGTTCTGCTCCTTGGGCAACAAGCCTAAGTGCTCCAGGCAGCTCTTCCTTCCTAGAGGCAGGGACTCCTGGGGTCTGTGTCCTCACAGGACTAGGCAAGACCCAAGCCCTCTGTCCAGCAGCAGGCAGGTGACAGTGACTGCCTAGTTAGCATTGAATGGATCTGATTGTCAGGCCCTGTGTGGATGAGCATCCCTATTTTGAGTTCCTACAGAGCCTCAGTCCAGCAGACATCACAGATGAGCCTTGCTCAGCTCTTCCCTCATACTCTTCCCTTTCCTCCCATCCCTCACTTGTCCTGTGCCCCTGCCTTTCTGTCTAGGCAAAGTGGAAGCTCAGCACATGCTGGCCAGTGCACCAACAGACAGGAACCTCTGCCACTTCCGGGTGAGTAGGGGCTAGTAGGGGCTATTCCTTTGAGACACTTATTAGGACCAGGGAGTATGGCCTATTTAGCTGATTTTTGCAGTTTTTTTTATTTTTTTTTATTTTTGATACTGGGGGTCGAACTCAGGGCCTTGTGCTTGTGCAGCAGGCTGTGAAACCACTGAGCTAAATCCCTGGCCCTATTTAGCTGAAGATTTGAGACTGTCTGGGCTCAAATGGGGAAGGGAAGGGAATATCAGAGGCCAAGAGTAAGTCAAGGTTGTGGAAGAACCCAGCAGATACAGGTGAGTGCCTGTGTGTATACATTCATGCAGTGCCAGGGTGGGGAGGGATGGGCATGGGCATTCATTGAGACAGAGGGCTCAAGGAAGTGCAGGCTCAGGGAGTCTAAGGAACAGTGCTCTTTGAGTGAGTGTTGGGCATTAGGAACTGGGCTGGCGCACACACTTGCAGTGCAAGAGGCCTGAGGGGACCCAGGGGATGTAGGGTGGCCTGTACACAAACTGTGGTATAGGAGCCCCCCCCCCCGCCCCCCCATGCAGCCCCTGGTCCTGGTCATGGTGTCCCATACAGGCTTTGGGCTGCCAGACCACTCACTCCAACCAGGAGGTGCTGCAGAGCTGTTCACTGGTCTTCTTTGCCACCAAGCCTCAAGTCCTGCCAGCTGTTCTGGCAGAGGTGGCCCCTGTGGTCACTGCTGAGCACATCTTGGTGTCTGTAGCTGCTGGAGTCTCTCTGAGCACCCTAGAGGAGGTGAGTGGCCTGTGGGGGTGAGGCTCTGCTGGCCAGCCTCAGGAGGCAGACAACTTCCCAGCCAGCCTCCAGAAGTGGCCAGATAGCCCACCTGGATTAAGTGGTTGGGGTTAGAGTTTGCTCTGGCCACTGTGCCTGGGAAATGAGGGTGGGAGCCTGCTGCTGGCTGAGGTGTGTCTGCCTAGCAGGGCCTGATCCCACATGGCTAATTCTGTCTTCTCTCTGGCCAGCTACTGCCCCCCAAAACACGAGTGCTCCGGGTATCACCCAACCTGCCCTGTGTAGTCCAGGAAGGGGCCATGGTGATGGCACGAGGCCTCCATGCTGGGAACAGTGAGGCCAAACTCCTGCAGAACTTGCTGGAGGCCTGTGGGCAGTGCGAGGAGGTGCCTGAGGCCTATGTGGACATCCACACTGCCCTGAGTGGCAGTGGCGTGGCCTTCGTGAGTATTGTCTTTTTTTTGTTGTTTTTGAAACTAAATACATTTTAATAGAAAAATACAAAATAACTTTTCAGAAAACAGAAATATTTAATCCTTTCCCCATACATTAGAACTTGCTTTATCCTCAGGGCACAGTTTGACATGTGCATGCGCACTCAGGATTCACCTCATGATGCGCTCAGTGCAGGAGAGAGAGCGGAAATGCTAATCTCTGGTTAACGGTCACTCTGAAATCTAATACTAATTCTGTCTTGTGACTTACTCCAAATTATTCTTTTTTTTGGTACTGGGAATCGAACTCAGAGACTTGCGCTTGTCAGGCAGATGCTGCGCTGCTGAGCTACATTCCCAGCCCTCCAAATTATTAACCATAATCTTTTTTTTGTGTGAGTATTGTCTTGCATACAACTTCAATAGGCAGGCCTTCAGCAAAGAGGCCCACCAAGTTCCCATGATAGCCTTTACCCTCAGAGTCCAGACCTGGGGCCTCAAGGGCTTATCATCTGTGAGTTCTGCTGTCTCTGAAAACTTCATGCTTTGGTGGGCCTTTGAGGCCAGCACCTTTGCAGAACCTGGGTTCTGGTCTTGGCCCTGGGTGTGTGTGGCCAAGGGCTAGCCCTTATTCCTCCCGGTTCCAAGCCTTCTCCAGGGCCAGGCATTTAGCTCAGTGGTTTCGTCCCCTGCTACGCAAGTGCTAGGACCCAAGTTCGATCCCCGGTACCAAAAAAAAACACCCAAAAAAAAAACAACCACGCCTTCTCCAGACTAGGTGCTGTGTTCAGGGGGAATACTGGCTTTTTTTTCCTCCCTTAGTACTGGGATTGAACCCAGGACCTTTGCACTGACCTATATCCCAGGCTACTTTTATTTTTTATTTTGAAACAAGGTTTCACTAAGTTGCTAACTTGCCCAGGCTGGGCTTGAACTTGTGATTCTCCTGCCTCAGCCTCCCAGCATTGCAGGTGTATGCCACCTTGCCCAGCTGGAGTATTGACTTTGACCTCCTGCACCCCATGCTGCTGCTACAGGTGTGCACATTCTCTGAGGCCCTGGCTGAAGGTGCCATCAAGATGGGCATGCCCAGTAGCCTGGCCCACCGCATCGCTGCCCAGACCCTGCTGGTGAGTGAGGAGTTCCCCTGGGAATGTCAGAAAGGTCCAGGCATATACCACCTCAGTGGGCAGGAGCACAGCAAGCTCAGGAAGCCCAGAGTGAGGTTGTATGTGGCTGCCTGACCTCCTCTGAGTCACTGCCCATAATGCTCTTCTCTCCAGGGAACAGCCAAGATGCTGCAGCGGGAAGGGCAGCACCCAGCTCAGCTTCGAACAGACGTACTCACACCGGCTGGCACCACTATCTATGGTCTCCATGCCCTGGAGCAGGGTGGGCTTCGAGCAGCTGCCATGAGTGCTGTGGAGGCTGCTACTTACCGGGCCAAGGAGCTCAGCAAGAAGTAGGGCCCAGCCTCCAGAGGAGGCCACCTGCTTCTTGCCTAGCCAAAACCCACAAGTGCAGAGTACCGCCCTATGTGGTCCCCTACTCCTCCCCTTGCCCCTTCCCTAAGGACCAGCTCTGTGTCCATCCCAAATGAATGTCTTCCCTCCTCTTACACAGGAAAATGCAGCCCCACCTACGCAGTCCTCTTCCCATCATTTGTGGTTTAATACCTAAAGAGCCCACTGTACTGGGTGATGTTGGTTATCAGGTGCCTGAAATTTGGGGGCACTTTGAGGCCATGAGCAGAGCTGCTGGCCACAAAAGCAACTGGACCTGGTTTGGAGCCTGAGTCTTTCCTTGGATTTCCCAGCAGCTCCCTGGACTATAGCCAGGGTAGCTCTCATTCCAGCTCCCTCCGTAAAGCCAGTGGCCTTGGCCTGGCCCCCAAAGGGAGCTGAAGCACCTTCCCAGCCCCTGAGCAGCAAGCAGGTAGAGTGGTCTTCTCATGGCTGAGGAGGCTGCATTCAGGAAGCTACAGCTGTGCCAGCCAGGTCTGCTGCAGCACTAGGACAGCATCAGGTGGGCAGAGGCCAGGTGGAAGAGCTGCTTGAGGTTTGGGGGGTGGGCCCCAGTCAGCGGGAAGACTATAACCCTGCCACCAGCTCAATGTAGGCCCCCTTCCTCCTTCAGATCCTAAGCTCCTGGCACATGGTCAGGTAGAGCTGGGCCCTAAAGACCCTCATCTGGGTCAGAAGTCTAGGCCCTGTGGCCCCCATGGACCTCTGCAGGACTGGACCCTTCTAAGCATATCATTTAACATAAGGTCAGGAACATAGGACTAGGAGAAGAGCAAGGCCATGGAACTGAGGACTGAGACTCAGGCCACTGGATGGGGAGGGTCCAGGCTGGCTGGCTGCAGCTCTGACCCCTGCATCTGGCACTACCCCCCAATGCTTTCCTGGGCCTCTCTGGCCACAAAGACCCCAGGGTGCAGCACCCCCTACCCCGCTCCCCCAGTGTGGTTTCGGATAGCTCCTGTAGTGCCATCTGTTAGCTGGGTGACATTAGGCAAGTTTACCTCATCTACACAAAAGCTAATGGCACTATTGGGACAGAACAGGATGTCTCATTCTTATGCACAACTTCTCTACCACACTGCTCACTATTCTGCCAAACTTCCCCCTAAAGCTGTAGTCCCTGCCCTTCCCCTAGGTCCCTGCCTCGACTTCCCATTCCTACCCCATTCCTAGATGGCTACACTCTTAATTTCAAAAGTCACAGAATTTTTTCCTATTTGTTTGTTGTTAGTGCTTAACTATACCATGGTTCAAATATACAGACTGATTTTTTTTGGTACCAGGGATCGCACTCGGGACCTTGCGCTTGCGAGGCAGGCCGCCGAACCACTGAGCTAAATCCCTGGCTTAGATGGCTACTCTCAATCAATGACTGCTTGGTCAGACCCTGATGCCACCACCTATCAGAAGAGCTGGTCTGAGTCCAGTTTACATTCTGGTCTCCCCACCTGTGAAATAGAAATAAAGATGTTTTACATCCCTAAAGGAGCTAACATTTGACCTGCTTCAGGCCCCTAGCTGAACTGTGTTGGCTCAAACCAAGGGTAGCAAACCAAAATGCCCAGAGGGCCCAGGAGGGAACAGCAGTGAGAAGCCCACATTCAAGAACCTGAAACCCACTATCCCAGGACCTTGGGTTCAAAGACACTTCAGAGCTGATAGGGGCACTGGTAGTATGGGCAGCAGAAAGTTCCACCCTGGCTGCAGGTCACTATTGCCTGAGTTTGTACAGATATAGATAGGACTACCAGCTCCCCTGCATCCTCATCATTTCGGGACACAAAGCCTGGGCAGGTTGGAGTCCCAAGGTCTGAGGCACCCTGCTCCACATAGGAGCTCCTTGGATAGCCCTCCTGAGGGCCACTGGCATTCACATTAATACAGGAGCCCACCTAGAGGAGAATTGTTGAAATTGAGCCAACACCAATCTCCCTGTGTGGGTAGGCTGTGACCAGGGTAGGCTCACATTGGGAGGTAGAACACCCCTCCATCACCCAGTCCTGGCCTTGAGCAGGCTGCAGTGGAGCCCTAGGCCCAGCAGGTGATCCAGGACAAAGACAGGTTGATTACTCAAGAGGGTCAGCTTTGGTGGGGAAAGTTGTGCAAATGTTTTCCAGACCTTTTATTCACCTTAGGCACTCAGGCTAACATTACTGCTTTTCAAGATAGAAACTGTAGAATGTGACCACAGTATCCTCTTAAACATTGTCCCAGTTTTGTGCCTCCCACCAATCTATGGGGTGTTCCAGAGTTACAAAAGAAGACTTAAATAGGGATGCTCATGAAATTGATATATTCCACCTTTATTATGCAAGTGCCATGGGGCATCTGAACTCAGCTAAGAGCAAGGTTGACTGTTAAAGGAAGGCCTCTCAACATAGCATGAACCCACAAGGCCACAGTCCTTATGAGGACACACTCTTGGTATGCATAAGCTTCACTCTTGGGCACAGTCAGCAAGGGCCATGACTGCTAAGCCCCAGAGGGGCTCTCTACAGGCAATTCCCATAGGGAGTATCAGGGTGCAGGTCCCAGTGACTAGCCCTTAGAGGGGTGCTCCCTATCCTTTTCCACCACATTCTGCTTCATCCACAGCCCAGCTGATGACCAGGTATACACTCTCCAAGTGCACAGATCCCTGAGGGGAGGCTGCCTCCGACCATTGCAAGCCATCTTCCTAACTGAAAACAGCAGCTGGATAGTGGCTTCAACAGAATCTGTACTTGCCCAATATTCTGTGCTTGTGCTCTCCCTTCCTCAGCCCAGGAGCCCTGATGACCCTGAGGTAAGGGCCATGAACTGCAAGAGCAGCAATCTGCCCCCAAGTCTCATCACAGGGCCCTGAACAGAGCTGCCCAGTGAGGACAGCTGCCCACCCTTTTTATGCCCCCACATTTTTTGCAGGGACCAGGCAAAATCCTCCAAGACAAGAAATCCAGTTTCCAGTGTGGTGCCTGGTACATGGCAAGTGGCCAAAGCTGCCAAAAGGAATTGTCACTTCAGCTCCCTAGCTGCCTCATGTTGGCTCAAACCAAGGTGGCAACCAAAAATGCCCAGAGGGCCCAGGAGGGAATGGCAGTGAGGAGCAGGCCAGGTATGCAGGTATGCAGCCCTGAGACTGTACAGCCCTCCTAAAGTGTTCCTGCCACACAGCAGGGGTCCTCATCACTTCAAAGACATTGAGCTGAGCCCAGTGAGCTTCAAGCCAGTGGCAGAGCTACAAATGGCGCTGAGGTTCCCATGATATATCTGTACACCACTGTGGGGCCTCAGGGTCTCATCATTGGGCTGCTTACAGGGCCAAGTGCCCAGGCAAAGCAGCCTTCTCCACAGCAGGGCTCAGCCACTGGAACCTCTGCCTTGGCATCCTAGGAACACTAATGTGTCTCAATCTATAAAGAGGACACCTTTTGTTTGTATCTTAGAGAACTGAACCCAGACCCTCATGCATGTTATTCAGGTGCTCTATCTCTAACACCCCCAGCCCAACAAACTTTTTGAGCCTTTTGGTGGGTTTCCCAGCCTAGCAAATGCTGGCAGACTCATTACCTGTGAGCTAACATCTGCCTTGCTTGTACAGTGGCCAATAGTGGCCCAGGGATAGGCCAGAGCCTTCTCCCAGGCCTTGAGGGCCCAGATGAGAAGGTTAAGACAGGTGGAGAGACCAGTGAGAGGTCTTGCTCTGGACACCCCCCCACCCCTACCCTTCTTAGACACTGTCTCAAGCCTACCTGGCTCAGGCCAAAATAGGAAGATGAAACGGAAACCTTACCAATGAAGCAACTCTGATAAGCCAGGCCAAAAGGCTGCTATCAGAGGCCATCCAGGCTGCATATGTATCAAGGCCCAGGTATACAGCCCTCATGTGCTTGTGGCCAAGGCCCATTTCTCCTCAGAGTGGCAGCCCCTATCCTTGGCTGACTGAAGGCTGTAGGTGTAAAGGCATTAGATGTCCTTAAGTGTAGCTCCAGATGCTTGAGCCAAAGACCCTCAGCTAGCCCTGAGTGCCCCAGGCTCTGCAGGTTCAGAGAGGCCCTGGCAGGCACAGATAGAGGCTGCTGCCTGAATCCAGCTAGGTGAGCCTCAATTCTGGTTTCCAAACTTTCCACACCTTCCCTCAGCTCTCAGATTTGAGATATGCATATGTATTTATGGGGGTGGGGTTTGCAAGGAACTGTTTGTTTTTGGTGTAGAAATTGCTTTAGGGAGAACCCCCACCCACCCTGCAGCCCCACTGCCAGACTGGTGCACAGCCCTTCCCTTCCATAAACATACCATCTGCATGCAGCTTCCGCACACTCACCAACTCCATGTTTTCAAGATTCAGACTGTTAGGAGGATATTGGGTCAGGACAAAGGGAGAGCATTAGGAGCATGCAGCCTCCTTAGAGCTAGCCTCCTGCAGAAACAAGGACTCATGGCAGTATCTCTGCAAAGGTGGCAAGCCCCCCAGGACACATGGGTATCTCTTGTCCCCAGACCACTCTAGCAAGATTTTGGACCTAGAACTAGAGGGTCAGAATGGTGTAAGAGCTAGACAATCACTTGAATTCTTTCCTTTCTCTTTGAAATGGGGCTAACCAGAAGTTGCTCCTCAGCCACAACTTTGGTAGTACCAGAAGGTGGAAAAGTATGTGTGGGAAGGTGAGCAGGAAGAGCAGGGGGGGTAAGGGAATGGAACTAAGGCACTGTGGATTGTCCCCAGGGTGCTGCCAGTGCTTCCAGGTAGATGAGGAGGCTGGCTCTGGGTACTGGGGCTAAAGTGGTCTATGGCCAATGGGAAACTGGAGGAGCTTGTCCTGACATTGGTCAAAGCACAGGACTCATATCCAACTTGGCAACCTCATGGAATAAAAGATCTGTTCAGAAAGGAATTTTCTTAAAGAGATAGCAACCCAAGTAGAACAGAAATCTGCATCCAGAACTTCAGGAAGTACTGGGCTCCATCCTCTCCCCACTCCATTATAAGCAGGTGAGCCTGAGCTGGTGGCTGGAGAGCAGCTTCCAGATCAAGGCCAAAAGCAGCCAAGACCACCCTACTCTTCCCCTATTCTCATAGCCCCTCTGAAGACTCTTTAGAAACAAATTTAATGTGTTAAAAAAAACAACCAAGTAGTGTGCTTCCCTACTGAGATGATGGGACCATGTAGCACCAGGGCTGCAGACAGTCTCATCCAGTGCATATGACAGGCTGGGTAAAGAAGAGGAGGTGTGAGCCCCACAGGGGCGAGGGTGGGAACACAGCCAACTACTCTTTGACAGTGTGTGCCCAGTGCACACTTGGATAACATGTGCCCAGTGTGTGTGAGGGAACCGCATGTGTATACCTGCCTAGGGAGAAGGATCAGCCTGGGCCCTCCTTCAGCAATCCTCCCTAAGAGCCTGTGGACTACTGGGGCAGGATGACCCTTTGCCAACAGAGCCCAAGCTGGGCTGGGACCTGTGTCCCCTGAACCCATTGGGTAGGCTACCACAGGGAAGTTGGGCAATTGCAGCAGGAAAAGGTCACTAGGGTGGCATGGTCACACACCGTCATCAGGAGCTGCTGGGGAAGGCCCAATCCCCCCAAGCCTCCGGGCCATGCTGATGAGTGAGCGAAGCTGCACCAGCCTCAATGGCCCCACCTCCCTGGGGTCCTGGCTCTCTAGCCACCTTAGAGCTGTTTCTAGCCCCCAGATGGCCTCCCCTGCAGTAGGCACCAATACCCCTCCATGCTCTGTGGCTTCCTCCTCCTCCTCTCCACCTCCCATGCTAGAGGGCAGACTGGCTGGGGATGGTGGGGCTGCAGGTGCCAGTGCAGGGGGCCAGGCAGGGCCCACCTCCTCACTGAAGCCACCAGGGAGGCCCCCATCATCATCTAGGTGCAGCCACTCAACCACCTCTTCAGGTGCCAGGCGCTTGTAAGCCAGTGCTGCCAGATGTGTGAGGTCACTGAGCAACCTGCTGTGCTCCGCAGCTTCCTCAGCTTGGTGGGCCGGCTGCTGCTCGGGCTCAAAGGCAGCCCGCAGGCCCAGTAGCCAACAGCGCTCAATGCTGCCTGCCTGCACCAGGTCCCAGGAGAGGCCAGCGAGGTACAGCATATCTTTGAGCATGAAGCTGCGCATGAAGTCCAGTGGGGAGCCACTGGCACAGGACACGGCCAGCCGCAGGAGCTCCCGCTTGTATAGATGCTTGAAGGCCACCACCACACCCTGTTCCAGAGGTGCGGGGATATGTGCCCGGCTGCTGCCCTTGGACAGGAAGAGCACCCGCACAGCACCGTCGGGTGTCTGCAGCTCCTCTGGGGGTCCGAGGGATTCCGGCCGGCACCGCCTGGGGGTCTCCTCGCTCTCCTCCAGAGAGGGCATCCTGGTGGCCCAGCTGGGGCAGGGAGGGTGGGCAACAAGCAGCACTGCCTTCTGCTGCAAGCAGCTTCGGCGGAGGTAGCGCTTGACGCCTGGAACAAATTCCTCGAAGAACCAGCCTCGAAGCAGCGGACGGCTGAGCCAAGCATCGGGGCTATAGCGGTAGGAGGCAGGGAACTTGTCTTGGTTGTGGTGGCGCAGGCTGGGCGGATCAGGCAGCTGCCCGATGACCAGCGGCTTCAGCTTGTGACTGCCAGTCAGGTTGGCAGCCAAGAGCACTGTCACACGGTCGGCGCGCCAGCCGCATCCCCCTACCCCGGGGTCCCTGGCACCCGGGGGCGCAGCCTGCTCCGGAAGTAGCCTCCAGTAGAGGCCAGTGACGTTGGCGTTGTAGATCTGCTCGTCACCGTAACCAGCCTCGATGGGGCACGGCGCGGCGGGAGTCCGGGCCGGCAGTGGGCCGGCGCTGGGGGCTTGAGCAGCCTCTGCTTTGACTGGTGGGCCAGGCGCGGGCCCCGCGGATGGGGGCTCCACCTCGCCATAGATGCGCTGGCTGGAGATGCCGTGGCGCTTCTGCCAGCGCCAGAACCAGCCGTGGCTGGCTTTGAAGGTGCACTCGGGCCCATAGATCTGGCGTGCGAATGCCTCGGCCTGCGCCTGGATGAGCGGCCCCGACAGCGGCACGCCATGCCGGCGCAGCGCGAGGAACCACGAGTACACTGCGCGGTCGATCTCCTCCTCATTGGCCAGCCGCATCTTCTTGCGCTGCGTCCCCACCTCGCCGCCCAGCTGGTCCAGGAACCAGCGCAGCTTGGGCTCGTCCTTGAGCCAGCCTCGCAGCGTGCCTCCGGGCACGCCGAAGTCGCGGCACACGCTGGCCTGTCGCTCGCCGCTCTTGACACGTTCGATGGCCTGCAGCTTGTCCTTGATGGAGTAGGCCTTGCGGAAGGCCATCTTTACCGCCACGCCGGACCGCGGCAGCGGCCCTGGGGGCTGGGGGCGCGCAGCGGAGCTCGGGACAGGCGCTGGGGGCCGCGGCGCCTCGGCAGGGTGCCCCGGCGGGGGACGGCGGCCGCACTGTGGAGCCCGATGCAGGGCTGAGCCGGCCGGAGGATCCGCGGGGTACATGGCGACGGCGACAGCGACAGCAGCAGCAGAGACCGAGGGGGCGCGAGGCCGCGGGAACCTGACGCCCGCCCGCGCTGGCCGCTCGGGGCGGAGCTGAAGGGCGGGGCCGGCAGGGTTCCTCCCTTTTGTCTCACCAGCCCTGGCAGCGCAGGCGCACTGGTCCCGCCCTGCGGCCCCGCCCCGCGCCAAGGCGTCTGCGCGCTGGTGTCCGAGCGAGGCTCACCTGGCAAATGAGGCCTGTTGGCCCCGCCCCGCCCCGGCCGGCTGGCTCCATTTGGCACACCACTGGGGGCGTTGGGCGGGCTTCGGATCCATTCTCCGCTTTTTGCGCTAACTATCTCAGTTCAGAGCAGCCTCTGGAGTCATTTCCCATTGTCTTGTGCCTTGCTATTTACAGGGCGCATCGCGCTGACGGCTTCGACTGCGAGGCGGCGCGAGCTCAGGGCGGCTTCCCCCGCGGCGGCGGGCGTGGTATGCCCCGCTCTATTTCCCGTGTGCGGTGCGGGAGCCTGCCCTTTCCTCCGCAGTTCCACGCTGTAGGTTCTACTTCTGGGTTTTCCGGTCCTTGGCTGGTGTGTGAGTACCGCGGCCCCGCGTTAGGAGCGCACGCGTCGGAGAGGCCCCAGGGGCCGGGTTCTGCGCCGTTCGGGCAGTGTGAGTGGGCAGCCCCGAGCCAGGGCTCGAGGCGTGCAGCCAGGCGCAGATGAGGCCGCCGGACACGGACCACCCTGAGATCCTTCCTCCGGTCGGCTGGGGCTTACACCTGTCCCCCCGAGACCATAGTGCCTGTATGCCCCAGCTGTTGCTCGGGTCCGTAGTTCTTACTCTCCTCCAGTATGTTTGTTAAGCATCTACTGAGTACCAGGCTCTGGGAATAGAAAGGACAGGCACAGGTGCAACTCTCGTGGAAGTTAGGTGGTTCACGAATACAGTAAAGAAAGAGGAAAGTTCTGTTGTGCTGTGCTGGTTCAAACGAAATAGGCTCTTCTGGGTGTGGTTAAGATCGTCCGAGGTTTCCTGAGGAGAGGTTTCCGAAGGGGACGATCGCGCGTGCTATTCGTAAGAAATGAGCGCTTTTTAAAGGTCCTAAGCAGAAAGGAGCAGGGCAAGTGGGGTTGGTTCCCGAAATGAAGCGGACCCCCCCCCCCGCCCATTAAACACCCTCCTGCCTTCGGAAGTAACTTTATGGTGGTCTGTTTTACAGGTTGAGGGGCATCTTGAACTGACAATATCTGTAAGGCAGAGGGAGGTGGGTCTCCTGCAGCTCTGATTACCCCCTTCTGATACCCTCTTGGATAGGGCAAAGGGCAGATGTGATAGGATCCCCCAAGTGTCACCTGAAAACAGTGCCTTCTCACCAAGAGCCTGGCACAAGAACTCAGGACCAGCCAGGCTCCTAGGCCTACCACTGCAGGGGCTCTCTGGGCCCTCAACCAATCCCATGGGGCCAGTAGAGTTCCTGATCTGCCTGGAAGTAAGAAGGAAGAGATCTCAAGGGAGGGCAGGTCCCCTTGCAGGCTATATGGTGGCCAGTTCAGCATGGGCTTCTGTTTCCTCTTTTTGGAGTTAAGGGAATGAAGCATCTCTCCGTAGGGTGCTGGGGATGGGGGATATTCAAGGGAGCGATTGGAGTGTGTGCAAAAGGACCTCTGGTGCTTTTGCCTGGAATGTGCTCTGGATGGCTTCCTGCCCTGCCTGGAGGAGCCTGATGCAGGACCCAGCCAAGCTGAGTGAGGCTTCAGGGCTTAGTACAGGTGAGCAAACATGCTTGACATAAGGACTTGATGTTTGAAAAGAGTACCTCAAGCCAGGCAAGATGGCATGTGACTGTAATTCAGGACTCTGGAAAGCTGAGGCAGGAGGATTCTAAGTTCAAGCCCAGCCTAGGCAACTTAGTGAGACCCTGTCTCAACATTTAAAAACAAAACAACCTGGGTGTGTAGCTCAGTTGGAAAGCCCAGGGTTCAAACCCGAATACCACACCAAAAAGAAAAGAGTACCTCTGGAGTGCTGGCATCAATCATTTGTGGGCCTTTGTCTTGTACCAGGATTCTAAAATGACCTGTACTCACTGGAAATTGGAGGAAGTGGGATACTCCTGTGAAGGACAGGTGTTGGAACATGCTTTGTATCTTTAGCCCCTCACCTCACTGACTTGATGGCTTTCTGTGGCCATGTACTCAGTCTTAATTTTCTCCCTATGTAAAATGTCACACTCTTGTCCCCAGGTAGGTGAGGGCTAGCATAGGTGTTGTCAAGCATGCCAGGAAGGGTTAATAAAGGAGTTATCTAGCAGGCCCTATGGCTTTCCTGGGCTGGTGGATCAAGGCAAGGTATCTGGGGCCAAGACAGAAATAGAACTGATGAGCTGTGGCATTTGAGTCAAAGACACTTGGGGCTTGCTGGACCTGGGGTGCGGTGGCTTGGGCAGTTACAGTTTCTGCCTCTGGGCTGGAAATGCCCAGAGCTCCTTCCTGCTGTAGGACAGGTTAGTATTTTCTATCTAAGGCTGGAATATCAGTCAGGCAGGGAAGCAGTTGAGTGGGAACTTGAGATTGTGTAGTTTAACCAAAGGGCCAAAGACATCACTCCAACATACAAGTAGCACATTCTGTTCAGTGTGTTTGTGCTGGTCTAAATAAGCCCCTTCTGGTATCCTTATCACATTTCAAGTGTTAGCAGATCCCCTTTTGGACACCAAACACATAGGAAGTTCTAGTAGGCAGCAATCTGGCCCACAGACTCAGGCCAGGTGAACCCAGAGAGAGGTGCTGTTGAGGTGAGTACACAGGCTGTGCTGGCTGGCAGACCGTGTCCCTGCCCACTTTGCTTACTTCCCCTCCCTCTGGAGGGTGGTTAACTGGGTAATTTGGGCATAAGCTGTTTGAGGCACAGCCAGGGGATGAAAAGTGTAGAGAAAGCCCAGGAGTCAGCTGCCGCAGACCAGCTGCAGTCGACGTAGGGTAGGAAGGGGAGATGTCCTGGGCTGGCGATGAGAAAAGAACCTTCACAAGCAATGTTCAGGTTCCCTCTGAGAAGTCTCAGGGTCTGATTTATTTTTATATCTTTAAGCAATAGCTGGGAGGCATTGGGTGGAACATGTTTACATTTTAAGTTGCCTAGCAATTTCTATTGAAGTAAAGGTTATTTTTTGCTAAACAAAGTACAATTCCTCTAAGCTGTGTCATTTCATTGAATGTCATGAATATATATTTAAAAATTACAATTGTCCCCTTATTCACCCATACCTAAGCAGAACAGAAGGTAACTTAATCAAAATCTTTATATCAGCGGGGGTACAAGCAAGAGTCAGTCAATTAAGTGTCAAACTTGTGGTCACCAGCTGGCCCTTGAGAAACTGCACAATGGTTAATATAGTTTGCTATTAGCTCTCTATTTTTCTTTACCTCTATTCATCTTAACTAAATGTCATTTGGGTTCATAGTCTATGAGCAGGAGATGTTTACAGCACTTTGAGAAATATTGAGTAACTTGCCTCCTTAATGCATTTACCTGTCTTAACGTTCTTTCTATTTCCCATTTTCCACTATTTCTTATATCTAAAGTCTGTCCTTCCAATCTCTTCATAAGACCCCTTTAGTAAAAAGAATGTCAGCAATAAGAGGGGGAGTTATAGTAGTGGGGAAACAGAGGGGGTTTTAGGAGAGGTTTTTTTAGGAGTGGATGTGGCAATAGAACTAAGAGAAACTGGAATTTGGGACTTGTGAGCCAGATCAGATTTCAATATATCATTACCAATTTGCCTCATGGAGAGTTTGTTGTTAGTCACAAACACAGTGACTCCTGTGATCAGAGTAACACTTATAAACATGGCAAGAAAAAAATAAAATATGAGGGTACGATGTGTTCCACCCTTTCTTTCCCCCAGCTGGAACTTTGTCAAGCAGCAATGGAGGTCGGTTGGGCTTCGCCAGTCAGCTCTTCTGGAAAACTTTTCTGCATGCATGGAGACCGCTGAGCCCTTGCCACAGTACTAGGCACAGCTGTACCGGGTCATGTCCTCCAATCAGGAGTATTCTTGGCAGGGGATCTAGATTAGCAGAGGTCACAGGGGCTCTGTGCCCCCCAATCCCCCCACCCTAGATGTGCCTGGCCATAGAGACTGAACATTTTTTTAGAGCCTGCATCTGCTTTTGCTGAGTGCTGCCTGTACAGATGCTGGGCTGGATGGCCCCACAGGGCTATCTTGGGCACCTCTCACCAGGACTGAGTGCTCACCTGGGCCTGTCTACCTGGATCCCAGGAATGGGTGAGGTCTTGATGGCTGGGTTGTGGCAATGTCTAGGAGTAGAGCAGGGGCTGCTCAGGCCACTTCCTCTGGGTCCTCACTCTTCCCCATGCTCCATACTGTTCACCAAGCTCTTGTTACTGCCTGAATAAGGATCAAGAAAGAAAGATTAGGGTCGGAGATTTAGCTCAGTGGCGCCTTGCCTGCCTTTCAAGCACAAGGTCCTGAGTTCAATCCCTGGTACCAAAAAAAAAAAACAGTTGACCATGTATAGGAATGTGGTGGTGTTCTATTGGGGCTCACAGCTTCCTGCTTCCAGGCTGTCCTTCCCAGACGTATATAGCTCACATCCATGTATTCTCCAGGGCAGCATTTGACCTCAGATGTCTGGCCTTGGTGCAGTCAAGCTGAAGGGTCTATCCTTTTGTGCACGTGGGGAAATGAAAGTTGGGGACCCTGCCCTGTAGGGTCTTTATTGTTTTTGCTGGAGCCTTGTGGTAGCAGCCCTGCCTGCCTGGCCTCTTCCCTCCTCCTCAAGAGTAGCACCTGCTGAAAAAAAAAAAAAAAAAAGAGTAGCACCTGCTGAATCAGAGGCCTGGTCCCTCAGAGGGCCTTTGTCATATTCTAGGCCCTTCACCTTGTCCCAGGATGATAGGGTGAGAGAGGGTAGCTCCAGTGATGGTCTCTGCTTGTTCCCCAGGGCCTGCCTGGGCTCAGCTAACAGAACCCCCAAGAGCTGTGTTTTAAGAGATGATGGAGAAACCTCCTTAAGTGTGTAGACTGGGCAGCCACCTGGGATTTTAGTGGTAGGGGTCAGTCTGAAGCTTACCTGTTACCACACCACTTCCACAAAGAGCCTCTGGAAGGCCATCCACTGTCCTCTGCTGCCTGAACTATTGTCTGGCACGACTGGTCTTTCCTACTCTCTAACCTTGCTGCTTTTCCTTCATGCTCTCCTAGGAGGCCAAAGCAAAAGTAAGTATACCTGCCCGAAGTGCTGTGTCTCCTTTTACCCAGAGCCAGGGAACCCCTAGCCATTACTTTGCCTGAGGGAGATTCTCAGCCACCTGTGAGGAGTTGGCCTTTCTGGGGAGCATTGAAATGATGTTGAGCAGGGTCCTGGGCTGGTGCCAGGTGGGCTGGCTTTTATCTTCTGTAGGGAAGTGGTGGTCCCACATGAAGATATGACCAGAGAAAACAATGGTCTTGTCCTTTGGTGGCCCTTGGTGGTAGCTTTCTTCCTTGAGCTGCTGCTCTTGCTCTCGGAGAGCCCCTGGAGCTTAGTCTGAGGTCACTGGCAGAGCATTATGTCTGGGGGCTGCTGAAGGGTCTGAGGTCAGCCCAGACCTACCCTGTTCTGTGGGAACAGAGAAGCTGGTGAGTTCATGGAGGCTTGGTACTGGGGAAGCTGTTGAGTAGACAAGTCCTGATGCCATATTGGCGACAGTGAGTGATGTCACAGTGCCCTGCCTTCTGGGCTTCTGCTTCTGCCCCCACCCTGCCTCTGCCCCAGCAGCCTGGCCTTGATAAGGGAAGGGTGTTCCAGGGACCTCTCTGCTGTGGGCCTCTGTGGCTCTTGGCCCTGGTTCCTTGCTGTGGAGAGGGCTTAACAAGCTACCCTTAGAGAGCCTCAGCTCTCCCTTGGAGGTGGGCTTCAGGATTTGTAGGTAGTTTCCCAAAGTCCCCTGCGTGGGTGGGATTTAGACAGCTAACACCCTAGGGCCATGGGAATGAGGGCTTGGTTTTGTTGGGGGTGAGTATTGGAGAGGGTCCTAGGCAGTGGTGTAAAGGTTTGCTGTCCAACCAAAGGGTGAAGGCTATCCTCTCTGGTAGGGAGCCCACTCATCCCCGAAGGCCTGACAGGTCTGCCTTCCTTATGCTGCACCCTGTGACCCTTCAAAAGCAGCAAAATGGTAGGTAGCACCCTCTACCAGTCAGCTCCTGAGCACTGTTAGTTGGGTCTGGCCCAAAGAAATCCTGATAGCTTCCTGTTGAGGCAAGAACCAGGGTAGTACTTATTTGCATCCTTAGAGCAACTCAAACCCTGGGGATTCTCCTTGCCCTGGCACCACACCTGGACACGTGAGAGCAGACTGCAGGGGCAAGACCTCCCTTGTGGCTCTAGTGCATATTTCAGACCTACAACCCTTGTCTTGCATGGGGCAGCAGATGCCTAAGGTGAGGGAATCCTGTGTCCGTTGAGGAAGCTGAGGTTCCAGAGGCAAGACCTTGTCCACAGGCTACAGCAAGTGGGGTACAGCATCCTTGGGGTCCCAGGACACCTTAGTTCAGGCAGACTCAAGGCTGTGGGTTGGTCACCTCCGATTGTTGTTTTTTGGGTTTTTTTTTTTTTTGCGGTACTAGGGATGGAACTCAGGACCTTGAGCTTGGAAGGCTGGCACAGCACCACTGAGCTAAATCCCCGGCCCTATCGGCTCTCTTTGTTGAAGTGGCAACTGCTGACCCAGGAGCCTGGGCTGAGGCTTCTTCCCTTTTGGGCAAGTCACCAGTATCCCCCCCTGGTGTTTCCTATTGAAATTGCCCTTCAGAAGTGGGCACTCAGCCTCTGCTCCTGCCTGTCTGCCCTTCCCTGCACTGAAAGAGCACTGCTCTGTGTGGATTGGTGGTGTGGCCATGGTGGTGCAGGTCACATACAGTGAGAGGCCTCCACACATGGGTTTCTGTGAAATGGGAAAGCAGCCAGCTGTCCCAGGGAGGTGGCTGGGTTTAGCATATGAAGAAATACAGGTAATCTAACCATAGTTAATTTCAGATAAGTGATGAATAATTTCTTAGTATGAATAAGTCTCAAATTACATGGAAGCAGGGCACAGTGGTGCATGCTTGTAATCTCAGCACAGAGAGAGGCTGAGCTGGGAGGATGGCAAGTTTGAGTCCTGCCCGGGCAATTCAGCTAGACCTTGTTTCAGAATTTAAAAGGGCTGGAGTTGTAGCCCAGTGCAGAGGCCCTGCGGCATTCAATCTCCAGGACAAAAAAGAAAAGAAAAGAAAACAGAAACTAATGATGGTTTCTAATAAGTCAGATTTGAGCACAGCCTGTTTCTATTTTATCTGGCAGCCCTATCTGGGGCTCCATGACAGAGAACAGGTTTCTGCTGTAGTTGGATTTGGTGCTCTCTAGATCCCTTTTGGGAGGGTATGGGGCTTTTTGGGTTAGTAAAGGCAACTTTTGTGGTTGAAGTATATAAAAATAAACATATGTATGTTGCTGTATTTGAAAGTTCCCCCAGTGGATTGACTTGAGCCCTTGCATGTTACCTCATGGAGCCCCCGGGGGGCCTCCCTACCCACCCTACCTGTCAGACCCAGGAGGGTGTGGGAGGCAGGTGCCTCTGCTCTGTTGCAACTGCCTTCTTGTGCTTGCTTTTTAATGCTGCACGCGAAGATGAGGAGCGGGAAGGCCTCTTGTGCCCTGGAGACCGTCTGGGAGGACAAGCACAAGTATGAGGAAGCTGAACGGCACTTCCACAAGCATGGGGCCACACAAGCCACCGCCTCTACCCAGCAGCTCCTGGTTGAGATGCCCGTTGTGAATGGGCCTGGCCAGAAGGGCACTGAGGACGCTGATGAGTCAGAGGCCCCTGACACCGGCAGCAGGAGTGATCCTGAGAAGAGCCTTGAGGGCAGGAAGGCCCTGCAGAAGAGGAAACGCTCTCCCAAGGGCTGGCTTGGCCAGGCAGACCTGGCTTTTGTGGGCCTGTCGGCAGAGAGTGTATGGCTGGAAAAGCCGCTCTTCGACCGGGCAGAAAGCTCCTACCGCCAGAGGCTGGCTGACTCAGCTGCCCAGGCCCCGCAGTTACCCACCTTGGCCCGTCAAGGTCCCTGCACACATGGGAGCCTGGTGGCCTGCCACCATGTGACCTGGGGCATCTGGGTCAACAAATCTTCCTTTGACCAGGCTGAGCGGGCTTTTGTGGAGCGGTCACAGGCCCTGCTGCTGGCTGCACAGGGGAGCCACAGGCAGGGAGCTCCTGACACCAACCCAAGGGCTGCCAGCCTTAATCTGGCCCTAGCCTGCCTGCCCAGCACACCGCCCAATGGTCAGCCCACTCTAGGAAGCCTGCAGGCACTGGTGAGGGAGGTGTGGCTGGAGAAACCCCAGTACGATGCTGCAGAGAGGGCCTTCTATGAGGTCCTGTTCGACGGCCACCCCCCAGGGAAGTTGCGGCTGCAGGAGCGTGCCAGCCAGGCAGAGGGAGCTCGGCGGGGCCGCAGAGATCGGAGGGCCCGTAACACTACCATAGGAAGCAAGCGAGCTGGGCCACGTCGTGCAGACAGAGAGGCCCCCTCTGCCTTGCCCTACTGGTATTTTCTGCACAAGGACGCGGAAGCCCCTTGGCTTAGCAAGCCCACCTACGACCGTGCTGAGTGCCACCACCACGCTACTGAGGCCCTGCGCATGGCCTGGTGCCTTGAAGCTTCCTCTCTGGTTCACCACCCTGGGCCCCAGTCTGGCCTGTCTATGTCCAGCCTGAGACCTAAGTAGGAAAAATTTGTGGGTGGGCGCCCAGCCTGGCCAGCACAGGGACACTGTCTCCTGGCTGGGGTCCTTTGTGTTCCCTTACCCTGCCCTGCTCTGGGTGGGGGCTGTCAGTCCTGAGGACCTGCTAAAATGAGTGCGGGGCCAGTTGGGCATGGGACCACAGAATTCTGAGCTGTTGGGAGGGAGAGTCAATCCTGAGTAGAATCCTTTTGTTCCTCACAGAGTCTCCTTTTGGATAGGCAGCCCCTGAGTTGCTTTTAGCTGAGTTGTTAATAGGACAGGGTTGCCTACAGTGCAGGTAGGAAGTCATGCAGCTGGGTGTCTGGTCCCTGAGCTGCCTCAGGGTGAGATGTGTGGGCCGTGTGTCAGCAGCTCCAGCTGGCCTTGTCATGTCCACCTCTAAGGGGAAGTGAGCATCAGATCAGCCCAGCAGCCCCTATCTGAAGGACCTTGGTCTGCCCACCCGTCAAGGGAATGAGACCTGCTTTTAGCCTCTGCCCTGCTCCAGGACAGGTAGATGAAGCTCCAGCAGTGGTTTCTAGAGGCCAGGGGCCTGAAGGGTTTGCCAGTACTAGGCTATGCAAGGTCCACCCCATTCAGCCAGCTGGACTTGGGGAGATGGAGGAGACATAAGTGGTCAGAGAAGGACTTGGAGAACCCCAAGCAGCACTGCCAGGGCCTCCTGGGAAGTGAGGCCAGCCTTGGGCCCTGATACCTGGGGAGGGGTGGGTCTGGGTTTGCCAGTGTGACAAGGCCTTGGTGTGGGGATGGGGGTGGGACCCCATTGCCGAGGTGCCACTTCTGCTTGCCTGCTACCTGTCCCATTCATGTAGTTTGGCTCTTCCTCACCAGAACTCTTGGGTGAGGGGAGCAGAGGAGAGTTGGGGCTCCATTCCTCTTGTTGCAAAGGAATACTTGGTGAAGTCCATTAATGGTTGGAGGTCCCTGGCAGCAGAAGGGGATTGGGTCTGTCTTGCATTTGGTGGAGCAGTGGGAATGGTCCGGCTGGGCCAGAGAGTTAATGCCATGGGCGGGGCTGCATTGTGAGGTCTAGCTTACAGACAGTGGGCTAAACTTGGTCCATTGGGTGTAGTGGGTTGGACCCTGGTAAGTGGTTCTCACACTTCTTGGTCTCTAGACTGGAGAGAGCTTTTATTATTTCTGTTGTTCTTTACCATCTTAGTAAGCAAAACAGAAATAAGTACGAAAAGTACTTATTTATTGAAGAATAAGTTTGTTGATGGTTAGTACCAATGTTTTACATTGTTGCAAATCCCTTCATACCTGGCTTGGTCAGAGGCAGCTCCATTCTTAGCTATTTCTGAGCTCAAGTTGCTGCTACTTGTTGTTTGACTGTGGTTGAAAAGGGAAGACCTCAGAGACCCCCAGAGGTTTAGGGGTCAAATTTGAGAATATGGATTTTTGACATGGGGCCCCCACCCAAGTGCTGGAGGGAGTCTGTGCTTGGGGCAGGAGATGACCGGGTGACAGACAGTGTGTTGGCGTGGCCACTCAAACACAGTGGATGCTTTAGGGTTGGTGTTATGCTAAGAACCACTCATGTTTCCTTGGGGGCCTGGAACCTTTGTCACCCAGGATAGGGATGGGGCAGGGGTGTCCTAACCCAGCTGGACTGCGCTGGCACAGAGTTGGTATCGGACTGGGGTGGGATGTCTCGGCAGCAGGGCAGGGTGAGCCACACCAGGGGCTTATAGGGAGGGGGGGCTTCTGGGACCCCATTCTGTGCGCCTTGCTGACTAGCTTTTCTCCCCTCTCACCAGAAAAATGGCCACAGACTTTCTAGTGCATGAGAAAATCTGGTTCGACAAGTTCAAGTATGATGATGCAGAAAGGAAATTCTACGAGCAGATGAATGGTCCAGTGGCTGGTGCCTCCTGCCAGGTGAGGGCTGTGCTTGGTGCTACTGGGTGGCTCTGCTGCCAACAAGAACAGTTACAGCACACAAGGAGAGAAGCTGGCCCCGCTTGGTGGGGACAGAAATGCTGAATTGGGGGCTTTCTGTACGGTGCAGGGAGTGGTGCCTTGGCTGGCTACTGGGGTGCTTCCTGCTCTTGGCTTTTTGTTCAGATGCATGGGGCAGGAACAGATAGGTGTCTGAATGATGGTGGAGGCCAGGCCTATGCATGTAGTCCACCTGCAGACTACCCTCACCACGCCCCATGGTCCTGGCCTCAGGCACCCTTGTGGCACTTCTGTAACACTTTCATTCTGTGTAGTGCTCTCTTGTTCTGTGAGTGAAGGTTTTTGAGAGGGTTTTGTGGCTTTATTTTTTTATTTCCTTAACAACAACAAAGACTGGTTCTTTCTGCACTGTCTGTAGGAGAATGGTGCCAGCGTGATCCTCCGAGACATTGCAAGAGCCAGAGAAAACATCCAGAAATCCCTGGCTGGAGTGAGTACCCACAGCCATATACCCATGGGCTTGTGCTTAGCTAAATAGCAGGTCTGATTTTTACCTCCTCGGTTCTGCTGAGCATTTTGGCCCTGTGGAGCAAAGTTAGGTTACAGTATGCTATGCAGTATTCCTGCAAGATACCAAGAACTGAGGCCTCCAGGCCCAGGCTGAACCTAAACCCAGATGGCACAGAAAATTGTCTTACTTTCTCAACCTTTCCATGTCTCTTTTGCCTGCTTGCTAGTGGTGACCTTGGCCACTTGTGTGGTGCCAGCCATGGGCTCTGGGGCTGAGCTGTGCTGTTCTGCAGGGTGCGCACTGCAGGGACACTCCTTGGAGGCCTGTTTTTCCTGCTTGCTTCCTGTTGAAGGAGCTTGTGTGTCTGCTGAGCCCTTCCCTCAGGCCAGGCCCTGCCAGGAAAAGGGGTAGTCATTTCACATGACGTGTGAATTCAGATCATAGAATTGGCACCATTGGAAGCTTGAAACCTGGAGAGAGCCCTGTGGTCCTGCTTGGCCTCCAGGTTATAGGCTGAAGGGAGGATGGTGGCTATCCTTTGTGGCCTCAATTGGCTGGCTAGGGAAAGGTATACCTCTGAGGGGCAGCCTGCCAGACAGGGTTGGACTCTGACCTCTATGCATCCAGGTGCACCCTGTCCTCAGCCAAACAACACATGGAGGGCAGAGCTCCTGTTCCAGACCGCAGGGGAGTCAGGACCCAATTTTCCCTGTGGAACAGTGATGGTATCCTGGCCTTGAGGGCCAGGTGTTAGTTTCCTATTGACTGCTACAACAGATCACCACAAGCTTCAGACTAAAATGACACAGAGGCTGGGATTTAGCTCAGTGGTGCCACCGCTGCCTCGCAAGCGCAAGGTCCTGAGTTTGATCCCTGGTTCCAAAAAAATAAAATAATTAAATTAAATAAAATGAAACAGAAGCTAGGTGGGGTAGCTCACACCTACAATGTCAGCCCTTGGGAGATTAAGGCAGGAGGATTGCTTCAAGTTTGAGGCCAGCCTGGACTACATAGCAAGTCCCTTCCCAACCCCAAATAAAACAACTACACAGATATGTCATCTGTGGTCCGAGAGGTCAGAAGTCAGAAATGGGTCTCAGAACTAAAATCCAAGTGCCAGGAGAGTTATGTTCTTTTTTTTTTTTTTTTTTTACTGGGCATTGAATTTAGGGCCTTCTCACTGGGTTGCATTCCCATCCCTTTGTCTAAGAGGTTTTATTTTTTGGCAAGATCTTAGTAAGTTCCTCAGGTTGGGCTAGAACATGCAGTCCTGGTTCAGCTTTTCAGAGTGCTAGGGTCACACCACACCCAGCTTGCTTGTTCTGAGACTCTAGTAGACACTATTTCCTGCCTTTTCCCATGTTCTAGAGGTTGCCCGCATTCCTTGGTTTATAGCCTACAGGTAGTCTCATCCCTCCAACCTGTTTCTGTCTTCACATCTCTTTTTCTGACTTCCAGTGACAAGGATTCTTGTGATTGCATCAGGCCTACCCAGATAGTCCAGGATACTCTTCTTGTCTTAAAAGGATGACCTTAATCATATTTGCTCATTCCCCTTTGCCCTGGAAGATAGTAGATTCATAGACTCTGTGGGTTGGGACGTATCTTTAGATGGCTCTTATTCTGCCTAACATGGTCCACTCTCTGGCTCTCAAAGATTCATGTCCATGCCATGTTTGCCAACATCCTCAAAGATCTCAGCCCTTTACAACATCAGCTCAGCCCGGAATCCTAAGTCAGGCATGGGGGTTGTGTTGTGGTGTGGTCCAGTGAAACTGGGGTACAGTTGTGAGACAGTAATGTTACAGACATTACCATTCAAAGAGGGAGAAATTAGGAGGACAGGGGAGTTTCTAGTCCCAAACAGTTTCAGAATCCAGCCAGAAACTGCACAGTATATGAAAGCTCCCGCCGTGCCTCTCCTTTCCCTGCCCTTGTCCTGGGAGCTCTTCATCCCACCCCATCACCTCAGGCACTGGCCAGTTTCAGGCCAGGCAGACAAGTGCGGGGAGCACAGCCTTCTGCATCTGAGCCCTGCACATTAAGCTCCAGTGCCCAAGTCTGGGGCAAGCTCAGCAGCCTTGGCGCTTCCTTGCTGTGTTGGGGTCCTGGTACAGTAGTAAGTCCTTGACTTATGAACAATTTCCATTTCAGGAGAACTGTTCATAAGTTGTATTTGTTTGTAATCCGACAGAGTGAGTCTTACACAGTGAACCTGTGAAAGTTCGCAACTCGAATGTTCGTAAGTCAGGGCTTAGGGACTGGATTGCTAGGACTGCTGTCGCAAAGTATCACAGGCTGGAGTCCAGACCAAGGTGCAGTAGGATTGATTTGTCCCGAGGCCTCTCTCCTTGACTGTCCTCTCCTGTCTTCACGTGATTATCCTGTGCACGTCTGGGTCTTTTTTTTTTTTTTAATATTTTTTTGGTACCGGGGATTGAACTCGGGACCTTGCGCTTACGAGGCAGGCGGCGGAACCACTGAGCTAAATCCCAAGCCCCACATTTGTGTCTAACTTGATTACCTATATGTACAGTGTAAAGGCCTCCATCTATGATTTATTTAGAAACAAGTTCTCACTAAATGACCCAGGCTGGCCTTGCCCTTGTAATCCTCCTACTTCAGCCTCCCAAGTAGCTGGGATTATGGGCATGTGCCACCATGCCTGGTTGGGTTTGAAGCTTTTGTGTAGGGTGCCCCTGGGGCCAGGAAGTGCCTAGCACTGCCCACTATCTTTTATTTATTTATTTATTTATTTATTTAGGTACTGGGGATCAAACTTAGGACCTTTCGCTTGTGAGGCAGGCGGGGCACCACTGAGCTAAGTCCTTAGACCCCGCTATCATCTTTGTCAGTTCCTTTGGCTTCTCTGCCATCCTTTCTCTGGCCAAGTTCCAGTGCCCAGAGCCAGGGTGAGCTGTGAGCTTTGTGACCCTTGGAGCTACAGGAATTATTCTTGCCCTGGCTATGTTGGGCCAGTCCTGGCCATTTGGAGACTTGGAAGTGAGACCCTTCTCAGGTCCCTTGATGACTTACGCCTCATCCAGAGGGGACCTTTCCTTGTCCCCAGGCCTGCTGTGGGATGGGCGAGGCCCCAGGCTCCATTGCTTAGCTGCTTCTAACTCCAGCTCTGGGGCAAAGTCCTTCTCCCTGCCCTAGAAAGTCACCCAGACACATAAACAAGGTGGGATACTCAGTGTTGTTACAAGGGCTGTGACAGGACAGGAGGTCCCCAGGCCTGAAGCCAATATGCCACACAGTAGGAAAAGGCCTGGTGCCTGCTGCAAAGAGTGAATTCTTTGGCTGAGCAGGTGCTAAGACCCCATCTGCAGAGGAAGCCCTGGCTTAGCATGCCAGACAGGTTTGGTCTGTGACCTCTGTGCATCCAAGTGAACACTGTCCTCAGCCAAACAACACATAAAATCATCCCTAAAGACTATAATGTCTAGATGGGCTAGGAGCCTGGGCTGGCCTTGAAAGCAGAGTGTGCTGATGGTCACCTAGAACCATCAACAGCTAGCTTGGGAGCCAAATGGTAGGTGCTAAGCCCAGGGGAAGCTAGGCATTGCTTGTCAGCTCCTTCCACCACTTGCCCCTCAACTGCTCTCCCTTCCTGTTTCCAGCTCAAGGAGGTGTTGCCTGACCCCTCTGAGGCCATGAGCCAGGCTGCCTCTGGGACTGTAAGTCCTGCTGCACGCTGCCTCTGTGTTTGGGTTGCCCTGGGCTCTCCTTGCTTTTTGTCCCGTGTTCTCTGCTTGGCTGAAATTGTGGCTACAGTCTGTGTGGCCACCCTCCTTGAAGTCAGTAAGTCTTCACCACTGTTACGATGGGCTGGGCCTTAGCAGGAGGGCCTCCTGCCTTCCCTCACCATCTTCCTTCCTGAGTTGAGTCTCCAGCAGTCCTGAGCATAGCAAGGGTACCTGCTGGGGGGAGTAGGCTGTGCTTCTGAATGGCTGTAAATGAGGGGACTTAGAAGCAGCCTTGGGGCTCTGAATCTCCCTTCCCCCTGTCTTGCAGAGCTCAGGCCCTGGGACTTCCAGTGGGCCTGGTGGAGACCACAGTGAGCTTGTTGTCCGGATTGCCAGCTTGGAAGTGGAGAACCAGAACCTGCGAAGTGGTGAGTCTCTGAGCCTGATAGACGGGGTAGAAGCCCAGCCCCTACCCTCTGACCACTGTGCTCCTTGCACCCACAGTGGTGCAGGATCTGCAGCAGGCCATCTCCAGGCTGGAGGCCCGGCTGAGCACCCTGGAGAAGAGCTCACCCATCCATCGAGCCACAGCCCCACAGACCCAGGTGAGCACTTCCACCCGATGCTGCAGAGGAATATGGTCCCCTGGCTTCCACCTCTTGTGGGGTCCCCCCAAGCAGCAGTAAGGAGCTAGGACCCATGAAGATTCAGTGATGCTGAGATTGAGCCTGGGGGCAGGGTTCAGACAGCTTCTTTCCTTTTGGGCTATTCATGGGAACCACAATCTGTCCCTGTGGGCTTCTCTAGATAGTGGGAGAGGACTGGGTGGGTTTCAGCTTCCCCTCGCCTATGGCAGCACGTGTCTCCCATGCGCCAAGTGGAGCTCCCAACCAAGAAGGTGGCCACACCAGCAGAGGACGACGAGGACAATGACATTGACCTGTTTGGCAGCGAAGAGGAGGAGGACAAGGAGGCAGCCCGGCTGCGGGAAGAGAGGCTGAAGCAATATGCAGAAAAGAAGGCCAAGAAGCCCTCGCTGGTGGCCAAGTCCTCCATCCTCCTGGATGTCAAACCCGTGAGTTAGAGACAGCTCAGGCCTTGGGGAGGGCAGGAGTCACATAAGTTTCATGGGGTGGAGGGGTTGCCATGTGGCCCACTGAGAGACTCAGCTTCCAATCCCCCTGCCCTCCTGGGTCCTAGTGAGAAATCAGGTTTTAAAAATCTTAAGTTAGGGGACCAGGGATTTAGCTCAGTGGTGCCACACCTGCCTTGCAGTGTAAGGTTCTGAGTTCAATCCCCAGTACTGAAAAAACAAAAATCCAGACACTTACTAAAAATCTTAAATTAGGGGCCAGGCGTGGTGGCACACACCTGTAATCCCAGCACTCAGGAGGCTGAGGCAGGAGGATCACCGTGATTTTGAGGCCATCCTGGGCTACATAGTGAGTTTGAGGCCAGCCTGCACTACATAGTGAGACCCTATCTCAAAAGATCAGAAGAGGGAGGGAGGAAAGAGTATTAAGTTAGGAACAGAAACTTGGCAGGACAGATGTCAATTTGGAATGTTTCTGAGGGCCCTTCAAGGAAGCAGCATTATGTCTTTTCAGTGGTCTGTGGGAAGGGTTTGTTCTAGTGTCCTGGAGGCCTCTGAGGTGGCTCTGTCTCTCTCCCACTCCCAACTCCCAGTGGGATGACGAGACAGACATGGCCAAGCTGGAGGCCTGTGTGCGCTCTATCCAGCTGGATGGGCTGCTCTGGGGTGGCTCTAAGCTGGTCCCTGTGGGTTACGGCATCCGAAAGCTGCAGATCCAGTGTGTGGTAGAGGACGACAAAGTGGGCACCGACTTGCTGGAAGAGGAGATCACCAAGTTTGAGGAGCATGTGAGTGGGCCGTGTGGTATGACTCGGTGGGATAGGGGACTGGCTGACCCTGGGGTCCCACTCTTGCACCTGCCACTTCACATCCTGGCCACACAGAACTGGAGGAGTGGGCCTTAGAGAAATCATCCTCTGCTGACACCCTCTACCTCCACCTCCACAGGTGCAGAGTGTGGACATTGCAGCTTTCAACAAGATCTGAAGCCAGGCATGCATGTGTGCAAGGGAGGCCCTGCTGATATTAAAAACTGAGACTCCGCACTCTGGCTCCTGTCTTGTTACTGGGTGGACAGTGCTCTGCCAGCTCCCAAGCCATTCCTGTCCCACCCTGTACCTGTCTCTACACTGCCACTCCTGCTTGGCATTCCTGTGGGTTAAGCGGGCCCACAGCCTTGCTTGGTCATGTCATCTCATCCACTGTATCTCCTGCCTCGGTTGGTCTTCATTTTATGTTGCAAGTGATAAGTTCATTTCAAGCTATTTAGGCAGAAACAACCTCATGACTATAGAGGCTGCCATGTCTTCACTCGATGCCTGTCCCTGCTCCCAGCATGTGTCCTGGCCAAGCTGCAATGATGATATAGGGTCATATAGTCCACTCTCCTTGGGTCCAGAGGGCCCTGCTCTTACCTGCTGGATACCTGGACCTACTCTTGCTGGCCAGAATATGGCCAGCCATGCTCCAGCAGCGCCGTGTGGTCAGTGATAGTCAATGGTGGTTCTTCTCCCGCACTATGACCCATGTGGCTGGTGTGACGGTGTATTTGGGTGAGAGTGTCTGTTGGGGTCCTGTCAGAGCTGATATCCTCAGGGTCCCTTGCCGTAAAACAATGGAATGCTGCCCTGGGTTGTTTTGTTTTGTTTTTTGTTTTTTAGCAAAACATTTATTGGTAATTTTAGATATACATAATGGTAACACTTTAGGAAATTTTCATCTGTATCTGATATATCCTGCCTCTTTTTCTTTTTTCCCATTCCCCCTTCCTCTCAAGCCCTCCTCCCCTCCCTATATGAAAATCTTTGTTTCCATTCTTTTCTTTCTGGTTTTACTTTTTTTTTCTTGTCCCTTCCTTCCTTTCTCCCTCCCCCCTCCCCCCCTCCCTTGTTCCCCTTCTCATTTGAACATTTCCTTCCCATTTCCCAGTGTCTATTATACAGTTTAGTCCTTTCCACTTTTGGTTTCTCACACCAGAAAAATAATGCGGTATGTTTTAGCTGGAAGTGTCTCCAGCTCATCCTTTATGGCAGAGTAGTACTCTTGTTATATATATAGCTCACCTCATCGTTATCCATTCCATAGGTTATCTGCCCTTACTTTTAGAAAGGGCTGATGTTGTAATGCTCAGTGACAGAGCACTTACCTAACGTGTGGCTCTCTCTCCAATACCAAAAAAGGTAAAAGGATTTCCTGCAGGACCTAGAGTACAAGACACCGTGAAAGCAACGACCCTAGAGCACTAGCTGAGCCTTCAGCCATAACATCTTTTAGGTTTGAGTGTGGTTGTACACACCCGTAGTCCCGGCTACTCAGGAGGCTTGAGGAAGGTCACAAGTTAAAGGCCAACCTTGGCAGTATAACCAGACCCTGTTTTAAAAAGGCTGCAGCTCCACGTTTGAGTGCCCACTGTTCAGTCCCCAGTACCGCAAAAGAAAAAAAGCAAGCTTTTTGTTGTCAACTAGGAGTGAGCGGACAGCTCCCCATCTGGGGCATGCCTCTTCCGAGAAAGTTGGGGCATTAGCCCAGCCTGCCTTCCGTAGCGCCTGGGGCAGGAGCCAGGGTGAAGAGGCCCTCTTCACCCATCCCTTGCCAGTCCTGAGCTGCAGCTTGCTGCCCGGCCATGGAGAGGACGGGCAGCTGGAGGGCCTATCTCGGGGTTTAGCACCGGCCTCTGATAAAAGGGGTGGGCCCCGCGGTGGGCTGGGGCTTAGAAGAACAAACAGCTCTAGCAGGCACAGCTGGACTGGAGCCGCTGGCCGCAAGGCCCGCCCCACCTACCCTTTCCGGGAAGGGTGTCCCCGCCCCTCGGTGTTAACCCTCAAACTGGAGGGCGGCTGTTATTGGCCCGGGCACGTCACGTGGGTGCTGCGCTGTAAGATGGCTGCCGAGCGGGACTCCGAGGGGCTCGCGGCAGCCCGGCCGATGCTCACTGACCTGTACCAGGCCACCATGGCACTGGGCTACTGGCGTGCCGGCCGGGCGCGCGACCCCGCCGAGTTCGAGCTCTTCTTCCGCCGGTGCCCGTTCGGTGGCGCCTTTGCTCTGGCCGCGGGTTTGCGCGACTGCTTGCGCTTCCTGCGCACCTTCCGCCTGCAGGACGAAGGTAGCCCCGCCGAACCCAGGACAGTTTCGCTCCCACGAGTCCCGCGTCCAACTAGACCCTCCGCAACTCTGATTAGACCCCCAACCCCGCAAGACCTCCGAGAACCCCATTGGACTTCCGACTCTCATAGGACAGTGCCCCTTTAGACCTTGCGACTCCGACCAGTCCAAGGAGAATCCCTTGCCAAAAGTGCATACCCTCCTCCCCTGCCCAAAGAGACCCCTACTCGTCATTACCGGGATAAGACCCCGACCCCGCGAAACCCCGAACACAAGCGTCCCTGTTGTCCCAGACGTGCAGTTCCTGGCCTCGGTTCTCCCCCGGGACACGGACCCAGCGTTCTTCCAGGATCTTCGGTCCCTAGATTGCTCTGCAGTGACCTTGCGGGCCCTGCCTGAGGGCTCCCTCGCCTTCCCGGGAGTGAGTGCGGGCCAGACGGCTGAGAGGGAGACGAGGGCTGCGCGCGAGGGGTTGGCGGGTGGGACCAGCCTCTCCACAGGTGCCCCTGCTGCAGGTGTTGGGCTGCTTCTGGTCACTCTCCACAGGTGCCTCTGCTGCAGGTGTCAGGGCCTCTTCTACTTCTGCAGCTGCTGGAGACTCCGCTTCTCTGCCTGATCAGCTATGCCAGGTGAGACACAGTGACCGGACTTGGGGAAGCCCTGTACAGGGCTAGCCAAAATGGATGGGGCAGAGGAGGGGGGACCTGGAGCCTGGGGCTAGCACTGCAAGTCCCAAGTAACTGCTGGCTTGTTGAGCTTCTCACTAGTCACCCTGGGTCCTTTGTCTCCTTGA